AACACTGAAAACTGCATTGGTGAGAAAGAGGACAGGAAATCCCCTGCCACCCACCAAGTGTGATTCACAGTTCATTCTTTAAGGATAATAAGGGCTGTCTATGAGAATTTCATTGGGAAACCGTATCCCATACCCCTACACAGTCCTGATTTTCTCACCCTCCAGACTTCTTTATGGTCCCATAACTCAAAGAACATTGAAAAGGAACATGATTTGAGCCTACTGAGGATGCCAAACCTGCCATTAAAATATGGAAGCACCGCCTTCAGAAGTGTATAGACCTAGATGGCAGAGATGTCAAGAAATAGTAGCTTCACATTGTGACACTTTCATTTAAGAAAGGTTTCTAAGATTTTATAGTAACATGTTTTAACTTCCCCTCGTATTTTGAATAAGCAACCTCAGTATACCTATTTAAATTTATAGGTTACAAAAATTGCCATAATTTATTATATAATTGTTGTTAAGTGCCGTCAAGTTGGTTCCGACCCGTAGCAATTCTGTATAGGGTTTCTGAGGCGTGGCTGGTGACCTTGAACCACCGATGTTGCTGGACCTTCAACCAACCTTGTAGTCCAGTGCATTAACATACACAGTGCCACACCAGGACTCCATTATATAATTATACTAATCATAATAGTGTAGTACTGGTGTGGTGCTGTGGGTTAATGCGCCAGACTGAAAAGCCATTTGAACTGTAAGGTTGGTGGTTCAAGCTCACCAACTGCTCCTTGGAAACTCTATACAGAGTCGACATGGGTCAGAACAGACTCAATGGCACTTCACTACAACAGCAATAACAATTATAATAGTATATTGATTGTGTTATAAACCCTTTAGAAATAATTCTAAAAAGGATTACATAGCTATGTAATAGATAAGTTTAAAATAAATTTTACTTATTAAAGGTATAAAACTCTTTGTTCTTAGAGATAAAATTAAAATTTTGGTTCTTTTCTGTGTTACAATTTATAGAAGATGGTACCAGTTCCTTCTCCTGAGCTTCTTTTCCTGTGCCAAAATATAACTTCTTAGCCTTTTGGTACCTTAATCTAATGAAATTATCATAATGAAAATTGCTTTGAATAATATTTTTAAAAATAATTTGATGTTTTACATACATGCTTAGTATATTGAAATTAGTTTTATCTTCATCACAGATCCCACAAGTACAACATGGAAGTCTAACTGAAGAAAGGTAAAAAAATATTTTTTTTTTCTAATATTTTTCTGTTCATATAGCTATGTGATGAAAATACTCAATCTAATTCAATATCATAAAACTTGATTTATACTTTTGTTTACAATATTGCACGCATTTCTTTGAAATTTATTTCTGATAGAAAAGTGTTTAAAACTTTGCATGGTATCAAAGATAAAAGAGTTTGCAGTAAAAAATTTAAAATTTCACGTGAAAAATTGGCATTAAATGGATACAACCCCACTTTCTGTCACAAACAGTTACAGCAAGGAGGAACTTTGAAAGAAGTTAGTTACAATCATTAAGGTACATGACCTAGAAACTTGAAACAACTTTCTTTATTTGAAATTTTTACCTTTCTTTTTTCCTGTCACCTTAGACATATGCTTATATTATACAAATACATACTTGCATTTTTTTTTTTCATTCAGTTGACCCTTGTAGGTTTCACTAATGAGTGAATCTGTTTGATTAGCATATTCTGACTCATCCACAAACCTGTTGGTAAACCAGTGAGGAACCAGTGAACCATAGCCAGATATATGAGTTGTTGTTGTTGTAAAGTGCTGTTGAGTTGACTCTGACCCATAGCGACCCTGTATAGGGTTTCCAAGAAGCAGCTGGTGAGCTTGAACCACCAACCTTGCAGTTCAGATGGCTTTGAAGTCTGACACATTAACCCACAGTGCCATACCACGACTCCAGATATATGAGTGGGACAGTAAATCTAATCAACACAAGCTTGCTGTTTAGTGCAAGTAAATTCCTTTCAATCATTAACTTGACTTATTCAGGATTCAAGTTTAATGTCTGTGAAGTACTTTTTCTTAATTACATGGAGCATAAGGTATAAAAGTTGGGCTTGATTATCACACAGAAAAAAGAGGAAACAATGACACAGATGTCTGTATTCCTGTGCTTCATTCACATTTTTAATATTTCTAGGTTACAGACCCAGATGAATTAGCAAGAATTAGAAAAGTGTAATGGCTAGATACTTTGAAAAGCTGCATTTTAGTGTCTTTTTTGTTATTGTTGTTGTTAGTGCCATTGAGTTGGTTCCGACTCATAGTGACCCTGTATAAGGTTTCCAAGGAGCAGCTGGTAAGTTTGTTTCCATCTGTCAAGAAGCTTTTGTATTCCCTTAATTTAAAATGTTTTTGGCTGAGCTGTGAGTCACAAATGCACCGCTGTCTTCACTTCTTTATCAGAGGTGCATCTTTGTCCTCGAAAGGATGCTTTCAAGGGAGCAAACAGGTGAAAGTCAGATGGAACAAGAGCAGGACTATAGGGATGATGCTTCAGCACCTCAAAATAAATTTTTTGCAGAGTGTCAACAGTGTGGGCCGAGGTGTGTGAACATGCATTGCCATGCAAAATCACAAAGCCCTTGGATAGCAGTCCTCTGCATTTAATCCAAAGTTTATGCTTCAGCTCTTCAGTGAGCATCTCACTGTAATGAGCTCTGTTGATTGTTGAACCTTTTCCCTGATAATGTTCCTGTATTAGCCCTTGAGGATCCCCCCAAAAAACAGTTAACATCAATTTTCCAGCTGATGGTTGATTTTTTAACTTTTTGTTGCTCGGTGATTGAGAATGTTTCCATTCCATACTCTGCTGTTTACTCTCAGGCTTGTAGTGATGAATTCATGTGTCATCACCAGTAATGATTTTTTTAAAGTAACTTTTGCTTACTTTTGAGTATTGGCCCAAATTTTGTTTGCAGATGTCCAAATGCTTCTGTTTTTGCCCCTCTGTGAGTTGTTTTGGTACCCATCTCACACAAACTATTTGAAACCCGTCAGCCATGGATTGTTTCATAGGCAGAACCCTGGATGATTTGCAAATGATTTGCCACATAATCAATCCACTGTCCTTCATCTGTATGACAGAATCGTTTCCTGTGCACGCTCAATATTCTTACCATTCATGGACATGGATGGGTGTTTTAATATAACCAGAGTGTGAATAAATTTTGACTCACCCTTGTAGAACATAAATAGGAGCAGAAAAGATAAGATGAATATCAGAAAAGAATGATTCCTCTTGAATGGCTTTTTCTAAAAATGTTGATTGATAAAACGTTTGTATTTCCTAACTTCAGGAGGAAGATAATTTTAAGTCATTTCAATTCAGTTCAGTCCATGAGGAAACATGGACTGACAGTATGCTTGCTGTGAAAGGCACAGTGTTAGATATTATGGAGTGTGGAGACAAAGATGACAGATATGTGCTACTTGCCCTCAATTTCTTAACAGTCTAGTAAGGCAGACAAGACAAACAAAAATAAGTATGGTATAATACTGAAGAAAGGATCGTGGGTGACACAGTGGTTAAGTATTTGACTGATTGCTGAAAGGTCAGTGGTTCAAACCCACCAGCTGTTTCATGGGAGAAAGATGTGACAGTTTGCCCTCACAAAGATTTATAGCTTTGGAAACCCAAGGGGGGCAGTTCTATCTTGTCCTGTATGGTCACTATGAGTCGAAATCAAATCAACAGCAAAATTGCATGCTATTAAATGTTATCAAGAAGTTGCCACAAAAAAAGGAGGAAAAGCTATTCCTGGCTAAACTGGGAATTATAAAGGATTTGATTTAAGAATGACAGAGGGGTTGGATTTTAACAGAGGATTAGTTAAAGGGTATTCCAGATGAACAGAACAGCCTAAACAAAGGCAAAGGTGTCTAGAGTCTCCATAGTGTTATCAGAGAAAGAGCAGTAATTCGTTTTATATTCAGTCTAGACTGAAGAGGAAAATGGAGATACAAAATGAAGAACGTTGGTTCAGCTTCTTAGCTTTATAGAATCTCTCTTAACAGCTTTAGGTTGAATATTGCTAAATATAATAAAAATATCAAATTATTAAGTACAATAGCACAATATTATTCATCAATCTTCATTTTGGGTTACTTCTTAGATCCTAATAGAATTTCTGAAATACTTTGGAAAAGCCTCCCAAACCTTCAGAGAGTGGATGGGAGAGAAGGAGAGCCCACTGAACAGACCCATGGTATTGCTTACAATAAAGTACAATTCTTTTTGGGCTTTACAACACTGAGCAATTTATTTTGGCTTACGGAATGGCTACTGGAAAATACTTAAATACACAGATAATTTTAATACTTTAGTATTTCACATCAGATGCATTGTTAGCTTTTCATAAATGTTTTTACTGCATTGAAATTCACACATCTAAAAAGTGAAAATGTATTTCTTGGTGTTTTTTAAAGAGTTGCACATCCAATTTACTTTTTTCTACATCCTCTTTTTATATTTTTGGGGAGTTGTTTTGCCAATAATACGTAAATACTTAGATTTGTTATAAAGCACAAAAACATCTTGTAAGAGAGGAAGAGTATTAATATATGATTTTTTTTTTCTACATGGACAGATGATAAACCATAAAATTCACTCATTCATTCATTCACTCAATGCATTCATGCAACAAAGACTTTTTTTTCATGTTTATATGCCAGAGTTTTTTTTTTTCTTCCAGACACTGGTGTTTTATTATAGTAAGACAGATAAGGTCCTTTTTTCTTGTGGAACTTAAATTATAGTGGGAGAGATAGGCAATAAATAATAATAAATGAAGAAGCTCATTTCAAACAGCAATAAGTGAAAATAATAATACTCCCTATTACATAGGAAGTCAGTCACAGGGGAAGGAGAATCTAGATTGGAGGGTGGGCAAGAGAAGGGATTATCTAATTATGAAATTAAAAAGTTTATAAAGTACTTTGTCTGTTTCTGATTTTTTTATCAGAGGAAACCCATACAAATTTACCTTAGCATTAAAAACTTCAAAGGAGGTCTCATAATTTCCTTAGGCAACTCTTGCAAGGGACATATTACTAGTGACATAAAATGTAGGCTTCGGTAGACTTTATAGAGGAAACGTACCAGTCTATGAAACACTGTAGAGTACATTGTCCACTAAGCAGTCTTGACTTTGTACAGAGGTTTGCTTAGCTAAGCACAGCTGAATTTACATCAAATGGTGCTTAGTCAAGAGTGGGACTCCCTGCTCACATAAAACTTTAAAAAAATTATTGTAGGATGGGAGGGATATGGATCACAGGGTCAACCACATAAAAGTGAAAGCGTTTTGTTGGTGAGGCAATGGCCTGATTAGAAAAAGGAAACATCTGGAGGGAAGGAGACACTTTATGCAGCAGCATTGCTGGTTTCTGTGAAAGATCCCATCATTTCCCACTGAACAATTCTGGTGAACAAATTGTGTCAGATCACCAATAGGGGAAATTTCCAAAACCAAAAACTTTTCTCTCTTTTGTCTTCTATGTGATTTTGGAGACTGACCAATGTAAGTCTCTCCATCAATTCTGGCAGATAGCTGGTCTTAATTATAGCAATCCCCACAATATTACCTAGGAGAGGGGTGTCAAGAAGGTTCCCAGCTGGGTTAGGTAAGGGTGCAGAGGCAGCGTCCTAGTCAATTCATAGTATGACTGAGTGTCTGCAGAGCCATAGAAGACTATGCAGGAATGCCTGCTCAATCTATTCAATAGGAAGGAAAAGTTAGTCATCGTTTTCCTTGACAGCATTTCTCCAATGATTTCTCAGGGTTTTTTGTTGTTGTCAGGTGCCATCAAGTCAAATCTGACTCATAGTGCACAACAGAAGGAAACACTGCCCAATACTGTACCATCCTCACAATTGTTGTTATGCATGAGCCCATTGCTGGTGTCACTGCCCCTCTGCTTTACTGCAATACCTCCTGACAACATGTTTAAAATATGAGAGTCGAAGTCGCACTATCCTGTTTTCAAAGGAGCATCCTGACTGCACTTCTTCTGGAAGTCCTTGGTACTTTCCACATTCTTCTCTCGCTTGAATGCATCCGTTCTATGGTCCTCCTTATTTATTGTCCAACTTTCACATGTCTATGAGTCTATTGAAAATACCATGGTTTAGGTGAGGCACACCTAACTGATGTCTTTGTTCTGGAATGCTGAAGAGATCTTGTGTAACAGATTTGTCTAACGTAACATGTAGTTTGATTGATTGACTGCTGCTTTCATGAGTGTTGTTTGTGGAACCAAGAAAAATGAACTCTCTGACAACTTCAGTCTTTTTTACAATAATGTCATTTCATGGTCCAGTTGTGAGGATTTTTGTTTTCTTTACATTGAAGTGTAAGCCATAGTGAAGACTATAGTCTCTGATCTTCGTCAGTATTTTAAATCCTCTTGGCTTTCAGCAAGCAAGGTTGTATCATCTACCTATCATAGGTTGATAGTCTTCTTGCAATCCTGATGCCATGCTCTTCTTCGTATAACCTAGTTTCTCCAACCCAGTTTCTACTCAGCATACAGGTTCAATAAATATGGTGGAAGAATAAAGTTCTGACACACACTTTTCCTGATTTTAAACCACTCAATCTCCCCTAGTTCTGTTTGAACCACTGCCTCTTGGTCTACGCTCAGGTTCCTCATGAACACAATCAAGTGTTCTGGACTCCCCATTCTTCACAATGTTATCAATAGCTTACCATGATCCCCATGGTTAAAAACCTTTGTATAGTCAGTAAAACTTAAGTAAATATCTTTCTGGTATTCTCTGTTTTCAGCTAAGATCTATCTGATGCCAGCAATGATAGCTCTAGTTCCATTTCCTCTTCTAAATCCAGCTTGAATTTCTGGCAGTTCTCAGTCAATGTATGTTTGCAGTTGTTTTTGAATTGTCTTCAGCAAAAATTTACTCATATGTGACATTAGTGATATTTTTAGATGTTGTCTACATTCTGTTGAGTCACCTCCCATTGGAAGGGGCACAGATGTCGATCTCTTCCAATTGGTTGGCCTAATAACTCTCTTCCAGATTTCTTGGCAAAGATACTCTGCCAGTGCTGGATCAGTTTGCTGTAAAATTCCAATTTGTATTCTGTTGATTCCTGGAGGTTTGTTTTTTGCCAGTGTCTTCAGTGCATCTTGGACTTTTCCCTTCAGTACCATTGGTTGTTGATCATATGCTACCTCTTGAAATGGTTAAACATTGATCATGTCTATTGGGTACAGTGATTCTCTGTATGCCTTCCATCTTTTTTTTTTTATTATGCTTTCTGTGTCATTCAATATTTTGCCTATCGTTGTGATGTGCTGTGGAGTCGGTTCCAACTCATAGCGACCCTGTACAGGGTTTCAAAGGCTGTAAATTTTTACGGGAGCAGAAAGTCTCATCTTTTTCCTGTGGAACAGCTGGTAGTTTTGAACTGCTGACCTTAAGGTTTGCAGCCCAAGTCGTAACCACTACACTACCAGAGCCTATGTTGTTGTTGTTAAGTATCATCAAGTTGGTTCCAACTCACAACGACCTTATGCACAGCAGAACGAAACACTGCCCAATCCTTGGCCTAGCATCCTTCAAAATTGTGATTTGAGGCTTGAATTTTTCTTCAGTCCTATCAGTAATTTACTATGTTTATAGTGGGTGTAAGGAGCCCTGCTGGTGCTGTGACTAAAGCAATGGGCTATTAACTGAACAGTCAGTGGTTCAAAGCTAGTAGACACTCCAGGGGAGACAAATGGGACTGTCTGCAACCATAAAGATTTACAGCTTCTGAAATCCTAAGGAGCAGCCCTGCTGTGTCCCACAGGATCACTGTCAGCCAAAATTGACTCAGTAGCAGTGAGCTTGCGGTGGATGAACACATTTATATTTTAAAGAGAAGATGTACCAATTGTGAATCATACTCTTAGTGTCAGGTGGCACATCTTACAGGTAAGAGCTTTACTGAGTCCCATGGGTTTATTCAAAATGGGATGGGTTGGGTATCTCTATGACTAGTGAGTGTGATGTTGTGTTTGGTGAATTTGGCTCTGGTCTTAAGAACCATGACTGACCTTTGATTAGATATGCTACTTCCCCTTTCCAGTAGAATTTTCCTTAGCTTATACCATCTTTTGAGGAATCTTGGTGTGGTGCTGAGTGTTAATGCACTTGACTGCATGATCGGTTTGAATCTCAAGCTCACTAGCCATTCCTTGGAAAC